TAATTCTCTACAAGGAAAAAGAATATGTGCTACAAGGAAGAAGAATATGTGAGTGGATTTGAGAAAGGGAGTGGCACGATTTTCCCATTCCTCCACAATGTCCAAGTTCAGATAGATAAAGGATTCAATCTTATCCAGTGGTGAATGACATCACCCCTCTACCTCCCCAAGAAATTCAGGCAGGCTCAGCACTTTGCAAAATAAACCAAGGGTCAGCTTTCAGTTCAATAAAGAACAAAAAAGAACAAAAAGCAATTTAATCCAAACCACTGCACAAAAAGAGAGCTCTTCAGTGAAAGGATGAGAACATTGCTATTGACAGGGGGAAAAAACCTGCTAGTTCTCTTGGTATATAATTATCAAGAATAAGCAAATTGTCGTGGATAACATCAGAAAAGATCCAAACCTCCCTTGATCCCTGAATGAAGTCCTACTGTAGCATTTCCACAGATCAGGACAGCTCTGTCCCTCCTGGCGGAACGGCTTTTTGGCAGATTCCACAGCCTGAACCTTTGCAGGGGTAGTTTTCAGTTCTGGCCCCACAGCAGGGTTAGGTATTTGCTCTGTAATTGGCTGACCTGAACAGCTCAAAGTCAAATATCCCCTAGATTTAAGAGAGCTGAATCTAGCCTAAATCAGCTTAAAGAAGATGAGTTTTCCTCTATGGCAGAAAAACCTTTGGCTAAGCAGTCAGGACAGGTCTTATAGTAGAGCCAAGGATCTGGCTTTTAATTTTGTGGTTTCAATCCTCTCTCAGAATTTAAACTGATAATCCACCATATTAATTTAAAAATAAACCCTGCTGCCTTATTTAATCATGCCTCTAAAAATAGTTGGGCCAGATTCACAGTGCCCTAGGACCCTTCCCAGATGGAAATCCAGTGGTTCCAGCTCCTCAGGCAAACTCTGCCGGTGTTGCTGGAGGCGATACAGCTGGCAGAGCTGTCTCTAGAGTCAGCCTTTGGCTACCAGGCTCGGCTCTGGTGACCCCCAGCTGTGACAGTGGCTTCTTAGGGGCCATGACAGCCTGTCAAATTTGGGGGAGATTTGACATTGCCTGAAGAATGGGTTGAACTGGCTTTCAGCATGACAGACAGGACACAAACGTGGATCAGTGCCATATACCCCTCCCTCGGAGCTGAGTGCAACAGATCATCAGATCTTGATAAGTGCAATATCTTTATTCTTTTTTCTTTCTAATGAACTTCTCTATTTTGCTTGATTCTTCTTTCATTTTCAAAATTAGGTTTCCCTTTGTCTGTCTATCTGTCTCTGTCTTTTTCTTTGTTGTTGATTTTCTTTCCAGTAATGGACCTTTTAATTCTCCCTTCTATGTTTATGGTATTCCTGGCATGGCTTTACTGACTCACACTTTACCATAAACTATAACTTTTTCTTTTTCTGTTCATGTTCTGTATTTTTCTCCCCTAAAAATGTAATCCCTTCTGAGAACAACACATTCTCCAAAAATCCTTTACATGATGCAACAAATTATTCTTTGGAGATAGTTTGACCCAGGTGCAATGTCTGATCTGTTGCCATTAAATAGTTCTTTGGCTTTGGCATGATAAATCACCAGCTTGCATTAAATAGGCATGATTTTCAGTTGGGATTCATCTCCTCTAGCAAAGGCAGGGACTCATCGCCTTTCTTCCAAAGGCATTCTTTTCTTACACTATTTAAGATTATTATGATGTATGTTTTGTGCCTTTGCTCTTCAAAAGGGCTAAGGTCTTGGCTGTGTGTCTTTCTTCTGTATGCTTGATTTTATTGGGTAACATTGAGAAGAACATAACCTTGGATGAGATTGTTGTGCAAAAGCAAAAACAACCTTTCCCCCCACGCCCCACAAAACCCTCATGGTTTTATTGTTCCATTGAGAATTTATTGTCAAATTCCATTTTAATGATTCCAGACATCATGATTAAAAAGTGGATGTGGGCTCAAAAAAATGTCCCATTGTTCCTTTGAGTCAATTGCTAACGCAAAGTGCTCTCTGATAAGAATACCATGAGGAGTCTATGAAGGAGTTGTTTTGGTGGTGCTGGAATCTCTATTGCCACATCGTGGTTCTGACCGGCACATTCCTGCACAGCAGAAGAATCTCATCGTGCCAGCCTGGTGAGCAAGTGGGATCTTTTTCTAGCAGGCTGGATTATGACTGATCAAAAAGATCAGTGAATCAATGAGTAATCATGGCACCCTTGTGGAATATAATACTAATGCCCTTTCCTGACTGACCGTTGCTTCTGTTGATTTTAACACGTTCAGTCTTGTGAGGAGGTGGAATTCATACACCCTAACTTTATGTATCTACAATGCAAATGATTCATCTAACTTCTTTGGACTTCTATTTTACAACTAGATGTTTTGCATCCTACATGTCCTTATTTCTCTGCACTGATTTTAAGTGGAGTCTAAATAGACAGCTCAGACATGAATTTCTACACTGTTGAGATGTACATACGGCCAGCTGAATCCCATCTGGATAGATTTCTCTTTGTTGTATGCTACAGTGGTCACCCTTAGTGTTTTCTGTTTCCATATAAAAATGAAAGAGAACACTTCAGGAGGCTACAGAATATTACATGTAAAGAAGCTGTGTAACATCAAAGGCAACAGACATGTTTCAGAAGCAAATCCACTTCATCAACAAGTTAGTAATCTTCTGAATGGCTTTATTGGTTCAATCCCATCTAAAGAGTTGTGGTAGCTTATAATCATAGTACTTCAGTTTTACTCCTAAGAGCATTAGGAAATAAAGAAAAACTCCCAAAACAAACAGAACTATTCACCTTAGCTGCAGACAAAACTCTTGTCTCAAAGTTCCTTACTGAAGACAATGAACTTGTTGCTCTTGATATTAATGGCACCATAGTTTCAGCCAAAAAAATCTAATGTATCATGTATCATTATTCTGATGCAAGAATAGGGTATCTAGGGATTAGGTTGCGGACAACCAAAATTTAGACATCTTAACACCTTACATTTGTCTTCCCTAGAGTAGCGTACAGGACCAGATTGGTGTCCAAGCTAGCCTACCTACACTGTGCCCACCTAGCATCCATGCTTATGACAAAGCCCCACCTGCGTGCTTATCTCGGCAAGTCTGCAGCTGCCTGAAGCTAACCACTGCTGGGAACAAAGGTGAGCTGTGATTTCCTCTTCATGTCTGTCCATTAGGGTTTCAGACCTCTGAACTCTCTCTATGGCAAGCTCTGTGAATGCTGTAGTCAAAGAGGAGAACATTCTTTCTCATGAGAAGGAGGAGGATGAGGAAGATGCAATTCTTTCTGTATTTTGCCCTTTCACTCCCAAATTTTTCTGCAGCGATAACCCAGGAGTCAAGCTGCCGCCCCACTATCTGGCTGATTCAGTATCAGTTCTCACCACTGTCTGAAGGATTTCCAATCGTGGGTAACACACACAACAAAAAACGATCAAGGTGAGCAGGAACCAGAATGTAGCGTTCCTTCCTTCCTTCTGGGTGAGTACCCTAATGACTGGGCCATGGAGTCATGCTTTCTCCC